GAAAATACTTGACTCGACTCGAGCGTCTTGCTAACTGCTCTGACTTTTCCCAAATGCACTCCCCCATAAATATTTCCAAGGACGCGCTGTAGTGGTGAAGCCTTTAATTTGAAACGTGGAGGAGGAAGGAAGAGCATTTAAGGCACTTGAGAGGCTTTTAAAAAAAAGTGGGAGTTATTTTGGGTATATATAAAGCTGCACTACAGTAGATGCCCTCTGGTTCAACATTAGCTGCATGCTGGGATTTCACCCACCCTGAAAACAGAGCAGCCTCTGTGGTAACAACCGGCCATTTGGGAGGAGGGTCCCCGCAGCACTAGCTGGGAGACAGGGAATTATGCTGTCTCTCCTTAGCTGATGCAACTACTCGCAACATCCACTGCTTCTTTATTTGGAGCATTATTGTGAGAGGACTTAACCCAATGTGAACATAGCATTTTACGATACGATTTACAAGCTGTCAGCAAATTAACAACAACAGTATTATTTCCTTCAGAGCTGGGACATATACAGTGGTAGATCTTCAGGCACTCTAAGAATATCACTGACAGCGTAAAAACAAAAGCTGATGAGGATAATTAGCCTACAGTAATTCCATTAGCACAAACGTTAGAAGTAACAGTATGCTAAGTGGAGCAGTGTCAGGTGGTATGACACACTGAGCTGTAGAGTGAGATGCAGTTGTTGCTTTTTATCAATGGTAATTAGAGCTTTAACATTAGTGCCTCAAAATGCACACAGGGTTTATCTGTTTGTACAGATAGATAACATATTTGATCCCAGGGTAATGACAATCCTGATTCAACATCCATGTATACAGTACATATATTGTATATATTATTTTTTACTGATAGGAAATATTGACATATTCCGTCTGGATAGGTTTCGTTGTTGCTGCTGTTTGCCCTCTCGTCTCACAGTGAGAAGGTGTTTGGTTTGAGTGTGTTCTGCCCTGGTTTCCACAGCTCATTCCACAACCCGAAACGTGCAGCTAAAGTTAATTGGTGACTCTAAATTGCCTGAGTGTGAAGGGGAGCTTCTCTATAGCCTCTTTCCCAATGGACAAAAAATGACTTACTTCTGGCTTTTTATCTTTATAGGAAAGGTTACAATTGTCATTTATTCCTGGGACAAATTACTCTGCAGGTATTTAACAGCTCCAGCTATTGTCAGTGAAACCTGAGAGGATATGCAAATTCTTCGACATTTCCTGTGCAATGCAATATTAGACACACTTGACACAAATGTACCAAAAATATAATAAGTATGTTTTTAAAACCACCAGACAACATTGACAGAAAGATGTATTATTATGCTACTTTGCTGTCCAGCCATCCTTGATAATCTTTCCGGAAACTCGCTAAAGCAGGTTTGAGAGATTGAGTGACTAACAGATATAAATAATAAGTAACCACTATGTCCAAGATTTTCAACTTGACTTTCCAACTTGCCCCAGGCAGAAGAGACCTGCCCCCCCATCACATCCACCACCACCACCACCACCACCACCACCACCACCCACGCCAGTTTTGGTGGAAAAAGGGTATGTGTTCAGACCTTTCCAGGGGGGAACCGAGTCTCTAGCTAAATCAGCTGTTGAATGGATGTGTATAGGTAAAGAAATAGGCTATTGACACAACAAGAAAAAATAAGAAAAGCTAAAAAGTTCTCAGGTAACTTTGGGAGAACATGGAAGGGATGTTAGCATTCAGTTCAAACAGTATGATCATGCAGTCTACTAGGCCCATTGAACTTCATGTGTCCATGCTGTTGCTGAAGCAGAGCCTGCAGGCCAGCAGTGAGCCCGGTTGGAGCCTTTGAGTTGCTCAGTGTTAACAAGACCAATCAATAGCAACCCCTGGCTTCACCCAGCCTTCCTGCAGGATCACAAAAAAATATTTCCCAAGACAGAGTGAGGAGGAGCAGCTGGACTTATCTTTAAAGACCATGGATGAAAATGCTAGCACATATTCATCTTCAATGGAGTAAATAAACAGACAGACCTCGGTGGGCGGCTTAGTGATGCACACATACCATCATTAGTGTGTGCCGACTGTTTGTGTGCATTTTGTGCATATGCAGACACATTTCCCGCTTTCTGAGACTAGGCAGATGAATTTAAATATTAACACGTATCACACACGGATACCAGGCATGTGTCAAACATGCTGCAGGAGACAGGCTAGAATATGCTGCACCATCACTGACTTCTAAAGCCAGAAGAAAAGCATTATTCATAAAAAATCACACCCCTTTTTCTTAGAGTCATAAACCAGTCAAATTGGTATGCATATTCATCGTACACATGTGGCTGTACTCAGCAAAACTGTCTTTAGTGGGATGTCCACTCCCATTTGTTTTGGATAAATGTTCTTAGTTGATGGATGTTTCAGTGGAACAAACTGTGACTACTTGTTACAGAAAGACTTCCGTTCTTGCAACAAAACTTACAAAGCAACATTACACCTGCTGTTTCCATTATCTGATGGGTGCCAAAACTCTAAACCTCAGAAATACCAGCAAAAACAATGCTTGGCATGTTTAGCTAAGACATATAGTGTAGATTAAGAGTGGAAACCAAGCCAAATGTGCCTAGTTTTTGAGGAAATTACACATTGATCCAAAGACATTGGACCAAGGACAGCACACCCATACCCATCAGCATCAGCATTGACAAAGGTTGAACATGTCACCTGTTTCAAATGTCTAGTCCACATCACTGAGGACCTCTCCTGGGAGCTCATGCCTGGTTAAGAAGGCTCCCCAGCGTCTCTTCATCCCGAGGAGACTGAGGAAAGCCAATCTGTCCCTTCACATTCTGGTGAACTTCTACTGCTGTATCATTGAGAGCTGCCTCACTATCTGCATCACTGTCTGTTAGGCAACTGCCCTGCCACAGAACCAAAATCACTGCAGAGGGGGGTACTCCCCTAGGAATGCTTGCTCTCCTGCCTTTTTGGAGGCGCTACAGGAACCTCCGGACCAGGAAAAGCTTCTTCCCCTCAGCTATCAGTTGAACTCTGAATGATGACAGATATAATGTGTTTAACTCTATAAACTGTTTACAGTGTAAATTCAGTTTGTCTATATCTGTCAGATGTAAAGGTGTATGTTTTACTCATTGCATTGTTTTAGTACTCAGTACTGTGCAATGACAATAAATAAATATAATCGAATCAAGTTAAATACATACTCCAGAACGCACCATTAGGCGTATTCACAAGTCTGATGTGTTTTATAAGGGAATGAAACATGTCTAATTATTCTCTTTTTTAACACTTTGACACGCTGGAGGACAATAACCCAGCCAAATATAATTAGACGTTACAATTATGGCAGAGAAAGGTTTGACAACTGAGTGCAATAAATGCCTCTCAAGCTGGTTTGTGTTTGAATCCCCTGGTCCCTCCTCAAACAGTCCTCTGGTTACAAGTAAATAATCTCATCTTCAATCATTCAGTTGCATATTAAAACATTTATGAGAATATAATGGACACATTTAATGACAGCTTAGCGGCACAGCCAGGAACAATCTCCGGTTTATAAAGTACAAGAGGAGAAATTAATTTGTTCGGCAAAACATCTATTCGGGATATCAGCAACACTTTATCAAACTGCTGGGCTTTATTTATAGCTCAAATAAAACTGGGAAAAAAAGAAGATGGACAGAGTCTGCTGTGTAGTACATGTTATCCTCAGCCAATTTAAGTTGGAGGAGGTGGAAATGTAGCCATGTCAAATATCAGCATACTGTACAGAGGGATTCCAGCTAATCCTTTTACAATATAAGTTTTAGCTGCCTTAAGGGAGCAAACCCCCAAACATGGATAATACCACCACAGCCGTGTCTCCCTGATTGACATAGTTGAACAATCATTGTTTCCCAGCCCTCACTCATATGGTGCATGGATTGGAAGTGGAGCTCTTGGTAAACCTCTTTACCGTATGGATCAAACAGAGACAGTGTGCAATGTTGTGGCCCCTCATTTAGTGAATTCAGTCTGCCATGGCTTCGACCCAAAGACAACTGCATCGAGCATCAAGCAAATCCTTCAATCCTCCGCCTCCCTCTCCCAAGCATCTTAATCAAATAAGGCCATTAGTTCCATCACAAGTTCTCTAGGCCTCCAACACCCTTCGACTGGGGCTTTTACTCAGCCAAATCCAACATTCAGCTAACTGGAAGAAAACTGACAACAAGTTTTCCTCGGGAGAGAGACTGCCCTCTAAGTTTCTAAAATAACATCTTGAAACTCTGATAATATGTAATCCAAAAAAGTTGAAGCAGACACTAAAGACAAAGAATTGTTCCGCCAAAAGTATGCAGTGAAATGAAATGGACATCTTGACATGACAGACCTGGCGTTATATTTCCAGATGTATATTACTTCACATATAAAATAAGAGATGGTTAAATCCTTACCAAAAATTAGGCATGAGCATTTTTTCACGACAACCTAAACAGAGCTTTGTCTGTGGCAGTCAAATGAAAAAATGTTTCAAAATGTACATTTCTAGCTGGTTATACGATTAATAGCTGAAAGTATATTCAATGGAATGCCATGAAATATGGCCAGCAGTAATGTAAGTGAACTATACACCCAAAGGTCCTGCAACTAAAGCCTTACCATCGACCCTAACCAACTTAAAACATACATATATATTCACATATTTAACAAATCATCACATCACATCTTTCAGAGATCTTGCTCTTCTCAAAACTCGCAAATCCATGGGCTTTAATCGATTGTTGATGCCATGACAAAGGTTCAGCTATCTGTTCACAACTTATCACGGATATCTCAGACAAATCCTTGTTCACCTTTAAAGCCAGTCATCATTACGACATAATCAGTTTGTTAATATCCAATTGGTGTGTTAAAGTCTCGATCTGTGGCCCACAGCCAGAACAAACGTGCTCACAAACAATTAATTCAACGCTGACACACTGCCAGCCATACTGTTTTTAACATCCGGAAGTAATAGATATTATGAGTCGTTTACATGAGTCCCAGCTCAGTTTCAGCAGTCCTACCTTCACAGTAAGTCGAGTCCCCGTGGATGGAGGCAAAGCCGCTCTTGCACTCACACTCTGCTTTAGTATTCCGGTTTTTACATTCAGAGTTTTCTCCACAAATGAGTCCCTCTGCGCAGAAGTCATAACCTGAAAGAGAAGGACAAAGGAGGTCTCCATCTACTTTGGACAGTACAGAGAGATAAAAGAAGACACATGCACAAAGAAGCAACCCTGTGCCTGGAGCCCACAATACCATGGATGACAAGAATCCTGATGTATAAAGTTTATGACTGCAGTAAAATGTCTGTGCCATAATAAAAGTTTGGACCTTTTTATGGCAGCATGTACACACACCACTTAAATAACATACACACACACAACAAGCTGTACTTGAAGGAAGACCTCTGAGGATGTAATCCGTCGAGCAAATAGAGTAAAAGATTGTTCTTCATGTATTTTGTGTTGATTTGGTGCTACTAAAAGAGTCAAATAACCAAATGTGTAAGAAGGACTGCAACACTATCTGACTTACTTTTACTCTGCCAACAATTATCTCTTCACAAATGAAAAGCTTAATAAGGTTTTTTAGGCTGGGCGGCTTAGTGTGGCAGGGAAATGTTTAGCTCTCTTGTGGAGAAACCACAGGCTGAGGAATGTATTGAACAGATGGATCAACAGTGGAGAAGTGGATCAAGTTCCAGCAGGGGTGTGAGAGGTTTCTATGGACATTCAGATTTAAGACACTCTCTTACAGTGTCTCTGGGCACATTAAGTCACATTTTAAGGTTTCAGGAAATAAGTGTTTCCTCAATGGAAATCGGCAGTACAGAAGACACTAAATCAGGATCCAACTGGCTCCCCACCTGTAAAGTATTGAAGCTATTGAAGCACATGCTGGGATTAAAGGAGTACTATTATGCTTTGTTTTGGGTCTTCCCTTTCCTGTAGTGTTTTATAGGATTTTGTGCATGTATGCAAAGGCTTACATTCCAAAGTTCCCTCTAGACAGAGTTTCTTTCCCGCACACTACCCCCCTGCCTGAAAGCTTTTATAGTCCTTTTTTAAATGTATATGGCATAGTGACATCACTATGCAACACTCGCACTTATATTGGCTAATGCTTCAACACATTGTACATTATGGGCTAAGGAGCGAGATATCTCTGAGTGGTTGACAAATCATGACAGAGATTGCCAGCTAACCAATTAGGTTGTTTCAGGCAGAGGGTGAAAAGAGGTGCTGCAGCACAGGCAGTATGAGGAAAGTAAAGCACTTATTGAATATTAAAGCATGGAAACATGTCACATAAGAGCCACAAAATAAAATCATGAAACCTGAAAATGAGCATAGCAGGGCCCCTTTTATAGGGCTGCACAATATGCATAATAAATAAGGCAAGAACAAATTAAACAACTTGCGGTAAATGAGCAGATACTGGCTTGTGTCTGCTTTAATCTACATCTGAAATCATAAAAACAACAAAGGTATTGTTAGTTAAAGATAGTTTAGTTACAAAGAGCATTTTTTTTACTGGTATTCTCTTTTTATTAAGTACAACCAAAATCCCTCAATGGATTATCCCAGTTCTTAGTGTCATGTTTATTGCCTTGGGTGACATCTCAGTGAATATATGGTTGTGCAGCCCTACCCTGCACTGCCTGCACAGCGCCAGCCTTTTGTTGAACCTGTACGTGTACATACATGTGAAATGTACTGAGAATCAGTCTGCTAGATAAGAAAGCAGACAGAAAGGCAGGCAGATATAGGTGATTGGCTCCCTCTCAGTAAGTATGATCTGATGTAGGCCATGATGTCCTGTAATGACAGACAGACTGGCTGCACATAAAAGCCTTGGGAGGCAGGTGGCCAGGGGAGCCATTACTGAGGAAAGAGCTCTCTCTGAATTACTCTTCCTCCACCATGTACATAAGCTCCTCACTTAGCCGACATGTAAAGGGACTGATTACACAAGGAATAACACATATTTGTGAGTGTGTGCAGTGGAGGCTTTGATATATGGATCATTGAAATACAATACACATTCACAGACCGCTGTTAGTACAATTCTTAGGGGCAGTTGTGTAATTGGCGATTTAACAAAGCCAGCGTGATACAAGTAAATATCAGAGTGGTGCCAAAGTGGTGAGCCACAAAGTGGAGATGAGGTCTGGTTGATTAGGAAATAATGACCAGCTCTGAGCTTTAGCGATCGTGAGCATCTGTGAGAGAAGAAGTGGGGGTTGTAGGGAAGCGGCACTGTGAGTGTGATCAATCTTTAATTGTTAGCACTTACTGCTCAAACTCTCCTCTCGGCTATACTCCTCTCCTCTGTACTCTAAAACATTTCTCACCTCCTCTTCTCTCTTTCTTCTCTTTTTAATAAGTCTTGATCTGTCAAGTCTCTCTTCCTTTTATATTTTCTCTCTCCTCATTTCCTTACCTTTATTTTCATCTTCCCTTCCGCTCATTTGCTTTTTGCTCTTCACTTTCCCTTTCCCATCTTCTTCCTCTGCCCGCTTTTTCCCCCTTCAACTCATCCAAATAAAAGGCCAATTTCCCTTCGCTCAGAACCTGTCACAGGTTTCTTTCATTATCGCTCTATAGCTGACAGCCCCCTACAGTTTGTTTATTCAATGTATTTACTGAATTACCGGTGGCTATTTACCCTGTAGTACCTCCCTGCCAAAGCGGCGGGGGTTCAGGCAAATTGGCATAGCAGGTGCTCTATAGAAGGCGGACCAATCTGCTCTGATAGGTATCCCAGCCAAGAAGCACCCGTTCCCGGTGGATAGGAAGAGAAACTGAATTATTGTAGAGGCACAGCCTGATTCAGAAACCGGCAGGCTGGCTTTGTTTACTCCTCGCAGTGGCAGGGGATTGGTGCGTGCCCGTCCAAAGAAAGACAGATTCATGCAACTGAGGATAGTGTGTTAAGCAGAGAGACATACCTCTACAAACATTGCAGCATCGGCCATCTGGTAGGATCTGTTCACTGACAGTGCAGTTAAGCTCTGGACAAGTTTCTGTGACTTTCACCATCAGGCCATTCTGAGAGGAGAGGGCAGAAGCAAAACAACCAAATGTAATGCTGGGGTGAACACTGCTTTTGAAATAAATAAAACCAAAGCCAAAGTTAAAAGGATGTTTTACATGATTTGTGTTTAGGAAAGAGAGGGTGAAATGTAATGGCTGTATATTCATGCTCACATTTAGAAAAAAAGGCATCATTTGAGATAGCAGGTAAAGTGCAGATATGAGCCATTATAGAAGCAAAACAATGGTAGATCGAACCCTGTATCATCTTCCCCTGGGCCTTTAATACAAATAGCAGACACAACGCAACTGTAGCAGCCGGTCTGTCAGCGCTCTGATGGTCCCAGCGATACCTCTCAAGGTCGGCAGTATTGACTCAAATCTGTAAGATATCTCCTTCACAACTTATTTCAATGTCATGCTATTCTAGTTATCATTGTAACTGCTTCCTCGTGTAATCTTTTAATAGTACCAATCTTTTCACTGTGAGCCTTTTGTCAGTCATATGATTTTCTCATTCAAACTTGGGGTAGGCAGTGTATTTTTAGCATCATTGGGCCAAAAGCATATTTTAATTAAAGTACCCCATGAGAGAGGCGACAGCACCTTCACCTGGCTTTGTTTTTCTGCTTTAAAAAACAAATATAGCCAAATGTCAGGCGACTTTGGCCAATAGCAGCTTATATCAGAGAGAGGGCGTTCCATTGGCTATTCTACAGATGTATACGTGCATATTCCTCCAATGAAAGCCCGATACAAGGCCAACATATCCAACAGGAAATATAGCTATTAGAGCATACAATAGATTAGCGGTTAAGCTAATAACAAACTCTCTCTTGGCAATGGTAGCGAAAGGCTAAACTTGAGCCTTCTGCTTTTGAATCCAAAGGATTAAGCCTCTGTTGGCAACACTCTCTCACATACTATCTGTGTTAGCATTCTGGCTTCGAGCTTAACAGAATAGTAAACTGTTAGCACAATTCTCTCTCATAGCCTACTATATACTGTTTTAGCATTCTGCTAACTGTGGCAAATGGCTTAGCACTTCAAAATGCTCAACTATTAGCAACGTTTTCTTTCCATCTCTGAAACCCTCTCCAATATTCTATCAAGCTTTGAAGAGAGACAAAATAAAGTTAGAGCTCCAGATATTTTTTCAGGACTTGATGGCTTCTGAGTTCTGAACCAATGACAGTATTGCTCAGTGTCTCATTATTATTATATCATGTCTGGCAGCCAAGATGAGATCAATAATGCCATAAGTGAAGGGACCTAGCCAAGAGCACAGTGTTTTAGTGATGCTGAGTGTTACTTATCCACAGAGCGTGATAACCACCAATCTAATTCATCTATCTGTTCAATCCATATGTCAATGCATGTATTATATATATATATGTGCCATCCGACCTCTGCAGCTCATCCAGAATGCAGCGGCTCGTCTGGTCTTCAACCTTCCAAAATGTTCCCACACCACCCCGCTCCTCCACTCACTTCACTGGCTTCCAGTAATTGCTAGAATCCACTTCAAGACACTGCTACTTGCGTACCATGCTGCGAATGGATCTGGCCCTTCCTNGACGCGTTCAAATTTAGTCAGTAATTTGGGGAGCTGTCGAAATGGCGAACGCGGATAAAGTTGAGCTCGAAATTCCTCCAGCATCATTGAAGTCTCCGGGCTTGGGAACATTTTGGTTTCGCAGTTACATACAAGGATGACGGACAAAGACAGGTGGACCGAACCAAAGCTGTTTCTCGGCATTGTTCAACTAAAATTGGTTACGCGGCTGGCAATACATCAAACTTGCACACATTTGAAAAGGCATCACCCGAACGTGAATATCACCGGTACCAAAAGAAAAAAGACTGAAGTGCAAATCCAACTCCCACAAGCATTTAAGCATCCACCACTCGCAAAAAGTTCAGAACGAGCCAAAGCTATTACAAACGCCAAATATCCTTATGTTGCCATGTTAGCAAAGCGCTACCTGGCTGTATCTGCTACCTCTGTCCCTAGCGAGAGGGTGTTCTCCACAGCAGTGGAGCAGATCTGCCCTTTCGGCAAGCAATGTGGACAAGTTCATTTTTCTTTAAAAAAACATGAAAATACAATGACAAGCAAGTCATAATGTCAAACTGGCTGCTTAGGTACTAGTACAGTAAAGTTCAAATACAGATTCTTTCAGTTCATCGAAATGCTGCACCTTAATGTTTATTTTATAATATTTTGTATTTATTTGAGTGAATACATTATTCACAGTTTAATAATAATTAAAAACCCAAAACTAATAGTTTATATATTGTGAGCTCTAGTACAGTAAAGTTAAAATACAGATTATTTCAGTTCATCGAAATGCTGCACCTTAATGTTTATTTTATTATATTTTGTATTTATTTGAGTGAATACATTATTTACAGTTTAATAATAATTAAAAAACCCAAAATATATTTTATGTATTTTTTCTGCTGTACCGAAAACGTACCGAGCCGAACCGTGACCTAAAAACCGAGGTACGTACCGAACCGAAATGTTTGTGAACCGTTACACCCTTAGTATTTAAACAAATAAACAAACAAGATCCCTCATGTCAAATGGATGTGTGCGGTCAAAAACTTTTTCCAACTTCCTCTCTAGACTTCCTGCTGTGTCATGCTGGCAGCATCATTTATACCTGAGCACGCCCCTACGATTGCTTTCTATAAATAATAACAAAACATAAACTAGAGCTGTCCATAAGCAAGATAACACGTTACAAAAACAGCATAATAATAATTCTAGTTATTCAGCTCATTTAAGTTAAATTAAAGAATATTCAATTGGCTCACAAAACCATAATTCATTACCATAAAATAATGTGCCTAAATGGCTCTTATGGTGCAAACAAAGACTCTACAAAGAATATGAAATGTGTACACTCAAATGAAAAGCATCAAGTTAGGGTTGCACCAGGTAGTGATGTAACACATTTTCTTTGGTGTCCATTGTGTGCATACTTCTGTCATATCTGTTTACTAAGAATTGGGGGTTGCTCCATATAAAGACAATACCTAGAAGATATATAAATTCCTGCTTTAGTTGTACATCAATATTTAAACATAAACCTCACTAAAGCAGCTTATTAAATACAAATATAAGCACCATTGATCAGAAAGGTAGAATGTTATTATTGTACCATATTTGAGTTCAGCTGTTACTTATGGGAGTATGTGAGCTATGCTGAAGTTTCTCCCAAAAAGCATTGCTGTGTTCAGCACTAACTGAAGAAATATAGGTAGCATATATATATATATATATGATATCCTTGTATCTTGAAAGTAGCATTCCATTATGAAAGAATCATAACCAGGCACACCTGCAGAAACTGAAAAGAGAGATAGAGAGAAGATTATTTATACGTTCCACGTTGAACTCTGTGCCCTTTTTTGGGCTGTTACTAGAATAAATGCTCACCATCAAAGTTCCTCTAAACATATTAATTGCTGGATTTGATGAGACCTACATTTGTGCTCTGCACCTGCTTATTAAAACTGTGCACATCCTGCCTGGCTGCATTTTCTGAGTCATTAACGCTGTGCTACTTCCCAGTGGGTTGCCAATTTTCAACAGAGGGGTCAACCAGGAACAAAGGGAAAGTAGCTATTTTCAGCCAAAGCATGGCATGACTACACTGTATGCTTTTTGCTTTCCTACTTTCCTCTTTATTATGTATTTATATTCCAAAGTATCAGATGTGGACCTCTGCGATAAATCTCCCACCCATATATTTTGTCTGCTAATGTATACTCTTATCTGTATTTAATATGTCTACGTTCCTAATTGTCGGCAACATAATGGTGATTTGTATTCTACAGATGGACAGTCCTTTTTCATTATTCTGAAGATTACCATGGGGATACGCATGTGTTATTTTCATTAATAAGATAAAGACAAAGGCCCAAGTTTACTGGCTGGTTACGCTAAGTTAATTATACATGTGCAAATTGTTGCAAAATAACATTGGCTTTGTGCAGTTAATGACCGCCTGCCAACATTGTTTTCCCTCTGCACAAACTGATACTTTTCTCTTGCCATAAGCGACAATAGTGACAGATGCTTAAACTCAAATTCCACACGCTAATTATGAAGGCTTGGATTGGGCGATTGTCAGCTTGGTCAGATCCTTCTGTGGTTTTTAGTCACAGTAGCAGCTGGAGTCAACGGATGGAGGTAGTTTGGTGAGTCCACTGCCAGCTTTCTGTAATAAATATCATGTGTTACCAAGCTAGCATGCTAAACTAAGATGGGAAACATGGTAAATATTATAGCTGTTGAACATCAGCATGCTGTAAGCACCATCTGCACCGCGTTAGCATGAGTAGCACATCCATGACTGTAGTCCTTTTTTAAACAAAAAAAATACCTTTTTGCATATTTTATTGGTTAATTTTGCTGTGTAGACCACTTACCGAAAATGTCAGGATAATGCATGCACATTTTCCACATGATAACATCAGAGTATTTACTTTTAGAGACAATAAAGAAAGTTGCTTAAGCTAACATGCTGCCTTGAGGTAATTTGGGGAATCTTTAAATGTGTGCAAATGGCCGGATTTATGCGTTTTGTTTATTAGTTGCCAGAAGTTACCAATTGTATACAAATGCTAATGAAGTTTTACACTGTTTATCATAATCTCCTGGCTCATCTGCAGTAAGCACGTAATAAAACACACTCAGATATATCCTAGACATACTCAATCTGCCTCTTCGTCTCTTCACTCCCCAGTCCCCCTCATGCCATTTTCCATCCGTCCACCAGATGCTTTTGGACTTTCCCTCCTTTCCCCATCACCTGACTGCCCCTCCCATCTTCACATCTGTTCCCACTTCCCTCATCTGCACTGCAGATGCCAGCAGGCCTTCCCCTGCACTCCCTTAACTGCATCTCTTTCCCTCCTCAGCCACTGAGTTCATGTACCGTCCCAGTTCCATCCTTACCAGTTCAAGTTTCTGATACACATTTTTGTTTAATGCTTCTGTTTTCTGGCCACCTGCACTAGTAACTACACCTGCCTGCAAGCTGATTTCTTTAATAAATCATTTAAAATCTCCATCCCTGCCTTCTGCATTAGGGTCATTCCCCTGTTGCCTCACACATAGCCGTGACAAAAGTGCCCCGCAATGATATTTGCTCCTGGCATATTTTGTAGAGCCCCAACACAGTTTAGGCTAGCGCTTGACAATCTCAACACCTCACAACCCTGTGTTTTTTCTCACCTTTAACAGAATGATAATACATTTTGCCGAAGCTTCCTCCTGTGCTGACACCAGGCTCTAGAATAGTGGAGATTAACCTGGCAACATGGGATTATGTTCACCCAGATAAAGAAGGGACAGGGGAAAACCGACTAACTCGGCCTATTAGAAGTATGAAAACTTGATTTATCCAAAGACATTAACAAGTCTCTAAAGCTTTATTTGTAATAGAAAAGCAATTCATATAAGTTTCCCGCTTTTACTCGTGTGTGTTCTGAAATGAAACATACAAACAAAAGTTATGTGGAAATCTACAAGCAGGAAAAATGCGAGCCAATTATACACTTTGCCATTAATGAGGCCTGAATGAGGGCTGGAGGATTTCACAGGGAGTCTCAGCCTATTTGGGACTAATGTCTGGCATGGCAGAGCTCTGGGCCCTGGTGAGATCAGTTCTGGTTCCCCCCGCTTTGAGATATTGCATTGACCTCTGCAGCCCACATCCCAAGATTACCTTGACATCTGCTGGGTGGGTTTCAAAAAGCTAATTAATCCCTGCTGACCTGAAGTTTGGCTGTCTGTTCTAAAAGCAGCTTGGGTCTTGGGGTAAAGACCCACTATAGGTCAGCCGCATAGCTCCAACACGACTTATTCTTGGTGCAATGCTTTTCTTGGACAGTTCTTTAGAAAGTCCTGGTAACATTATGTCAAATATTTGACAGGAAACAGCATATTTTTGGCTGATTTCCCCCCTGTGAACTTATTTATAAAGAAAAATACATTAAGTGGTTATTTCAATGGCTGCACTGCACCAAAAGCCCACAGCTCCCTCTTCACATTAGCCAGTATTATTTTCCCAGTTCTATTTCATGGCCTCTTCCAGCCCACTGAGTACTGCAAAAAGATCCCACCATGAGGCAACATTAATATTCATGAATAATGTTATGCAAAAAAGAAAATATATAAATAAACAGCCAACACGCTTGGCAATGTCACCCCCTAAAAAGTGCCAAGGGGTCCCAGATGGAGCTTGTGATTTTTCTTCCATGACACGTGTAATTGTTACAGTCTGAAAAAAATAAATACAATTGAAGGCAATAAGACAATATTTCCCAAAGTCCTCAAGGGAAAACGATATGCCCCTGTGGAGGAATAGTTTTTGCAGGTTCAGAGAAGAGGGAAATATTGAAGGTATTTGCAAATGTATTGCTCCAGTTTTCAGGCAGGTGAAGAGAGCCTTGGGCAAAATTAGGTTTATCTAAGCGATGTTTGTGAGGTATTCTGAGGGGACCGGATAACCCTTTCAGTTTGCCAACGCACAGACGAGTCTGCTCAGCTGCTGTGTCAAGGGAAATTACAAGGTTGTTGCCTACATACAAAATCGTCCTCTGAAAGGGGATGGCTCTCAGGCAAATATTTCTGATTGTATTGGTTAACAATATGGTATTTTGTGCCAGTGAAGGTCAGACAAAAAGCAAATAGGAATATCATTTTCTTTTTTTTTTCTCTCTTTTTGCATGAGAACCACCTTGTTTACATAAAAGCTTTTTAGGATTGGTTTTGTTGAAAATGTACAAGTGATGAGTATTTGGAGTTCTGCTTTTCCTACAAACAAGCATTGGTTCAAATTAGGGTTGTTTAGTCAAATCAAACAAAATGACATTAAATAGCAATGAAACAGAAGGAAGAAGAAAACCAATTAATTAAAGGGACAGAGAGACCTTTTCCTAACAACATGTTTTGAAACGATATTAACCTGTTAAGCCTGGAGCCTTTTTCTCAGGTCTCAACAAATGACTATATCTTCACTTCTAATGGGTAAATTAATAATATATTTTTTCTGAAAGCAATGATAAACCTGTGAGTTGGATGTTGAAAAGTCAGAATCAATATAGAATTGTTTTTATTTTAAAGTAAATTTAGATTGAACATAGTAAAAAAATGTAAATTATAGTGTCGGTCCGTCCAAAAAAAAACATTACTTATAGTGAAAACCACCCTTGAATGATGGGAGAGTAGACTAAAAGCTTTAGGAATCCAAACTATAATATAACAACTGAAGGAAAGGTTAGGGTTGCTGCGATAAACACAAACATGTACTGTAACACACACAGCACTTTTCCAATTCTTCCTATGAAACCTGAACCCTCCACCCACTACACTCACCTCTCCATCTCCCTGGACGCCCAGCCTCTTGATTTCCACTCTGCTTCCTCCCACTTCATACCTCCCTTTGTCCATTCTTCTCCCTGGACTTCTAAGGACCTCTACTTCTGATCTCAGTCTCTATAGACCTGACCAAACACTTGCTCATTCTCCATCTAGTTATATCAACCTTCTAGCAAGTCACAGCTGATATCCTCCTGTTCATTGATCTATTCTGTCTCTGAGAGGAACAGAGGAGGGTAGTGGAAGTTTTGAAAAGGTGAAAGTGACCACCAGCTGAGCAATCCTGAGGCTTCTTGGTAAAGAAATGGAAATATGGTGCATGTCGTCCTTGACAGGACTGGTGTGGCAGCTACCCTGCGCCCTCAAGAAAAAAGGAGCAGAAGTGTCAGTGATGAGTGTGGTGAGTGTATTGTAAAGGTGTCAGACCGTTAACATGAGGTCTGAACCTATCTGCTTCCACCACCAATGGGGTCATGTTGTCTGCTGTGTCCCATTTGACAAGAATACGAGTCTGAGGTCCTTAAGAGTAATTGCATATCCTCAGAAGGAATGACAAATCACCGTTGACTGATGTGACCATTGTGCAACTCAAAGTAGCTTTTTCCTTAAGCAGTAATAGCCCCATTGCTGTTACTGCTATTGTTGTACTCTGGTGTAATCATGGTTTGACTGTATAAATATTCTAAAACTGTTAGGAAAATATCACTCGACACCAGGTTGAGAATCAATAATCAGGTACTAATTTATTCTTGCAAGGAGGAGCAGAGTTAAANAGTGAGGGTGCAGCGAGCTGTTTGGCTGATGCAGAGCGGAGTGCACGTGCTGGGGTGTACGGTTTAACCATGTCCTGGATGTAGGAAGGGCCAGATCCAATGGATCTGGCCCTTCCTACATCCAGGACATGGTTAAACCGTACACCCCAGCACGTGCACTCCGCTCTGCATCAGCCAAACAGCTCGCTGCACCCTCACTGCGAGGGGGACCCAAGTTCCCATCAGCAAAAACACGTGGGTTTGCTATCCTGGCTCCAAAATGGTGGAATGAGCTCCCCATTGAAATCAGGACAGCAGAAAGCTTACACATCTTCCGGCGCAGACTGAAAACTCATCTCTTTCGACTCCACTTCGAGCGATAGAATTACTAACAAAGAACTGCTAACAGAGCACTTATATACTAATAAAGGGCTGGCTTATCTAAAGCCAGTTGAGCAGCACTTGAAATGTTTGGCTCTATGAAACCTGATGTACTTATATGATTTTGTTTTCTTCAAGGTTGAATCTTCCTGGTCGAACGCACTTATTCTAAGTCACTTTGGATAAAAGCGTCAACTAAATGCATCAGCTAAATGCAATGTAATGTAATGTATTACTCATTTATGTGTTTCCCACTCCTCACCTCTCCTGCTGGGACAATGAGAGGACAGAACCATTGTGATAAATGCTGAAGTCACATGAAAATACTTTCACACACATGAAAAAGCTTTTGATATAAATGTAAGGGATGTCATGGTACAAAGCTCTGAAAAATGACCCCTGAAAACATCAAAATAACACGTTCTAAGCCCCTTTTAAAAAATAATTAGTTCACAAACACGTCACTTAGCAGGTTCCACATCCAGGGGTAAAGAAAAGCTGTAATTGCTTGAAACAAAGCCTACAAACAATATAATGATGTTTCGAGTTGCCTGAAGGCTTATAATGAGTCCAGTGTATGGCTATTTGTAACCAATTAGATGCACACAGAGCTCATTTTCTCCCAAAATCATTGCATTTAGAGATAAATGACTTCGCAGTGAAGAAAGCTCACCTCTGTCCAATGGTGAACTGGAACAAGAATTTCAATTATAATGCATGCAGTGATGAAGCTTGTAATAAAATCAGGCCTTTGTGTTGCTGCGTTAATAAGTTAATTTAATTACCTGGCTATCACGCCATTAGCGAGAACAAAAAAGGCAGATTGAACAGATTGGGGGAGGGATGGAAAACTAATATAGCCTGCTGGCTAATTGAATAACACAGCGAGCCGTCCACCATGCAGTTAGCTCACAAGGGCTGCATGGTATATCTGATCAAGCGTGGAGGCCAACTAATGGGGAAAGAATTGTTGAAATGTTACCTTGCATTCCCTGCAGTTCCTGGATAAAAAGCGCTGGCCTTCGGAAAAGGTCTGGCCCATGTAGGTACATCTCGCTGTGGGCAGATAAAAGCTAAAATAACAATATATAAAGGTATAGAACAAAAGAAAATCCAACCCGAAGTTCAGCATATTTAATTTGTGTCAGAAACAAAGTTGATCTTGGCTTGTGTGCATAGCGGAGAGGAGCTGTAACAGCACATTTAGAATACAACAGTGGAGACACTTCTGCATTTTCCTGTGGTGATAAAGCAGGGGAAAAAATGAAGCATTTCATATGAAGTCCTGCTTTTCTCCCTTCCAGGGTGCCGAACTGTGGAGTGCTCAGTCGCAAGCTCTGATGTTCACAGGGGAGGAAGAGGAAGAAGAAGAAGATGCGAGCGGGGGGACGGAGGGAGGCAGAGCAGGGCTGAAATTACTCAAAGACTGACTATCCATCAGGGATTCCATGTTTTTGCAGTATAGCAAAAGATAGAGTTGTCCGTGAATCTGTGAGCAGACCCCTCTGTGCTCTATACCAGAAATAGTGTTTCCATATCTGCTTCCTTGAAAATCAGTCGACTGTGATTTTGCTCATGCATTTTCTGTTTTCACCAGGCCAGCAGAATATCAGCTCCCTTGTTTGTTCAGTGGTTCTAGTTGGTTCTAGTTTAAAACCTGAGATACATAAGCAAAAACTTAACTTGATAAGTAATCAATCACCATTGTTTTTATTTTTCAGATAAATTCATTCTTGTTTGCATGTTAAGAAACTCCTAAACAAAGCTGGAAAAAACCCTGTTTGAGGTTTTCCAAAATATTTTGTCATTACCTTGAAACAATGTGTTTTCCATCGACAGGCAGCAATGTTGCAAACTTAGAAATAAATATAGATATCAACAACCTATGTTAATGTCACTCTCTCCTAAAATGCCTAGACAATAAAGGTCTTAGTATTTTCGTTAGCTAAGGTTTTACATTTTTCTTAACTAACATGTATTGATAAATACAAATAATTGGAGAGGAATTGATTTTCAAGAAATAAAGAAATGACAGCACTTCTGGTTCCAAAGTATTATATATGATTAAGGCCATGCTGTAGACAGAGCAACATGAAGGTTATTGCGTATAAACCAGAGCTTATTTGTGTGTTGGAAAAGGTGTTTTTGCACACAAGCAGAGGTGGTTTTCATAGGTTTGGTTGAGAATATTTATTCTGCTTTCTGTTTGATCTATATATGTGCTGCCTGGTGATACTTACGTCTGCATTTCTTGCAGCAAGTCCCATCAACGTGTACAGGCAGCGAGTCCTCTGAGCAGTTTGCTGGAGGACAGAATATCCTGCGACACTCCACCACACCATTCTGTAAGAGAAGGATTTCCTTTTTAAAATAAAACATGTAATCTGCAGCAAAAATCCAAAGCTCGCAGTGAACATACAGCTTTTCCCGGTAGCACTGCCAAAAACTCCACACTTAACATGTTTCCAACGTCTTCTTTGTGTGTCTCCACTTCAATTTGCATAAGCATTCATGGAGCTGTAACACCTTTTACCCCTAACCAACAACATATAACACATGCAGTGTGATCTGATCCAATGCAGCTTACTATACATCCAAACCCTGCAATGGCTAATGATTGCACCATGCGAATAAAACCAATCATAAACTGAAAGCTATTATATTTAAAGTAGATATATATATATTTTAAATACAATGAAATAAGATAACAGATTCATCACAGAGCACTGGATAGCGGATACCCTAACTTAGCGTCATATCAGGTAGTTATTCAGGCCCTGAAGGACTGCCTTCATTTTTGAGGCTGATATCTCTCTCTGCGAGCACCTCTTCATTTCATGAGTCATCGGAAATGATTCTCCCAGGACGCAGTGGTTATCAGTTAATGGCATGTCCACAGGAGGAAATCAGACCGACTAAACTCCACCCTGTGCTTGATGTGCAATGATGCCGCGAGTCTAATTCCCCTGGGGCCTCGGTTTGGCCTGATTCATCACATTTCAAATTCTGACTCCTAGGTATGAGTACCGGCTGGGAGGCTTATTAGAGGGCGCTTATTAGGGGGCGCTTGTTAAGGGGTGGGCAGGAGGCAGCCGACATGATGGACAGGCTGGAAAGAACGAGGACTGCGAGGAAGACAAGTTAAGGAAGTGTTGACAGTGGAGGAAAGAAGTTGTAGCAACTTATCTTTTAAGGAAATAATGTACCCTCAAGCCAATATGTCATCAATCTGTAATGCTAAAACTGTCTAGAGGTTATTTCATCAAACTCATGTAGTTGGCCTTTTTCATGCTCCCAGTTACTGCTGACTGCTACTATTATTCTTTCTATATATGGGTGAATAAAAAAGGGGACTTTAACTAATGTTGCTCCCTGTCAAGATACAGACAATAATTTATCCAGAAAACCTGTTCAACTCATGATAGATTAAATTGCTCAATTTGTACACATTATATCTATTTGTGTATCTTTTTTTTATGTGTTTCTACGGCGACCTTCAGAGCCTTGACAGGCGCCTATATAAAATAAATGAATTTTTATTATTATTATTATTTGCAATTATGTATTTCTTCCTGAGCTTTCTTCAAAATGTTCCCAGGGATTTTTTTTATAAACCCCTTAAGTCGAATTTGTGATGTGTTCTAGTTGCATGTATAAATACTTGACTCAGATAGGATGGAGACAGTGTATGGGGGTGGGGTGACACTCACCTTACATGCACAGTTCCTGCAGTTCTCGGGCTCCACCCATAGCTCTTTATCCCTGTAGACCAGGCCGTTGGCGCTGCAGGTCCTCTCGCAGTGACAGCCCTCCAATTGGGTCAGCCTCGTCTCTGCGTAGTTCAACTGAAGACGAGCACAGAATCACCGGAGTCACAAAACCGAATCAAAAGTGTGTATGCAGGTTCCACCACCACCGCCCCCCCCTAGCCCTCTGGCGTGTACTGGTCGGTTTCACAGAGAGCTGCTCTGCTGGGAGTCCCTCATTAGAAGGGCACATAGTATAAGTGATCATCATTCGGCTCATGCTCCAGACCTCAGGCTGTGATCTTCTGAGGAGTGACAGACAGGTCTGACAGCCCCGGTCCTGCCTGACTCCTCTTTTATTCCCACACACTGATCAGCCCTTCCTCTGCGGCTTACTTCATGCTCAACACTCTCCACGGTTGTTTCTCGACAAAAGTGATGCGCCTTGAACTTGACAAATTGTCACAGAGGGTAGTTTGCATCAACAAGGATTACATTCAAATTAGGATTTTACAAACGTTTCTCTTCAAACATATGTTTATATATTCGACTCTTGTTTTGTTAAGTATGTTTTGAAAGGAAATACCTGGGTTTTGGTTAAATTTTAATTGATTAGGCAAGTCCAGACCTCGTGCTCTAAGACTCGAACCCTTTCCAATATCAACCAAGACCAAACTCTAAACAAGTATTGTGAGTGACGAAACATTGAGAAAATATATGAGTCATGCTTTAGTTGCTCCAAGTGTGTATCATGTTGCAAGAACAGTTACTGTACGAAAGAGAAATTAAATAAAATGTATGTCAACATTTTGAAATGGTGTCCAGAAGAAACATTTTGTGACTTTGCAAACATTCAAAACGATTCCTTAATTTGTTGATCAAAAATTGTAAGTGAGGTGTTCCTCTCTAAATGCATATCCTATAATTACTGAATGGAAACTTTCCTGGTGCAGGAAGTCTTCAAGATGATATTTCAGTAATGGGGATACTCTGGCAATTACCATGTCATGTGTTTGATCCCACAAAGTAACCTTGTGCAGTATCTTGTTACTTAGAAATAAATATAATTGTCTTTTTAACAACCTTTTCTGTTGAAAATCTACTAGCCTCAAGGTTCAGTTGGCATTCATCTAAGATGTTCACACTTCTTATCCAAAGAGTTATTTATCTGTTGTATAGGCCACTTCATCCATCAAAGCTTACTTACAGCCTTGAGTAGATGCTGCCGAGTTAGAATAAGACACCAGTACCACATCCATTCATACATCTATAAAATAGATTAGTACTTTCTGACCCTCACAAAAACCATCAGAGTGCTGTTTCAAAGGCGGACAGGTAGGGGAATTCAAAGGTTCAATTGATCTGAGCAGCGTAGGTCAACTCAGAAATTGTAGGCCCACTTAAGACCCTCAATGCCGCTCTGCCACTCTTCCTCCGCCCTCTCCGCTCCTCTGAGACCTGCCCAGGCCACAGAGTCAAAAAGGGAGGGCTCTCCGTGAAATGATAGTCTTTTCAGTAAAATAGAAAAATCACAGTCAAGTCACAGAGGCTTTTTGCTTCATTTAGAGGAGTCCCATCGGGCTCCTGGAGAACTGCGTGAGCTTTGAGCGGTAGAGATGTGTCCTGTCAAAGACCTAAACAAAATGTTTGAAATACAATTTCAAAGACTGGGAGGCTGCCTAGAGCCACCATGGAGGAATACCTATCCTGTACAACGCGAGCATCAAATGGCACAGTGATATCGCTCACAGGAGTCACAGGCTAATGGGCATGTATCTCCTCCGGTAGACACATGAGGCAGAGAGACATGTGTGAAATAATAAAATAACAGCTAAATACAAAGTCTAAATGAATGGTGGCGATGGAAAAGGTGCATTAGCTTTAATCTTAATCTTTAATCTTATCCTGCCTTTCTGAAGTCATGCATGTGTGGGTTCTGGGGCCAGAATAAATCAGTCTTGCGCCAACGAGTAATTACGTAGATGTTGTTTGTAATTTATAAATGGGTTATCTGCTGCCAAGTAATTATCATACATTTGCTGTAACAATGAAACAAACACACCCTCAAATGTCTAAACCTGTTGAAAACTACATTGATTATCCAAATGATCAGGGACACTGATTGTTAAGGGGGCGTTGCTGTTGATATTGAGCATTGCTTAATGCTGTTAAGATCACAATCAAGGTGTAAGCAGAAATCTAAGCTACAGTACTGGATTTCAATGAAAACACTTTTTTTGTTTTATTAGGCTGAACTAACCTTTGAAAGATAAAAAAAGATATAGTTAATTGGTGTCTGTATTAATCCTTCATGTTGATTTCTACGTCTTTTGGCATAAACCCGTAATATTGCTTCCTCTCACAAACACACAAGTATGACACCTGCACATTCTCCCATGCATGCCATTCTACACTGAGCATATCTTACTTTCATCTCGTCTTGCCTTGACATGACACAGTCAGGACTGAGCACGTATTCACCTCATGCTGAATTCGTCAATTCTCTCCACAGCAGAATGGCAGAGAGCCATTTAACGCTGGAGATGACTGCACCCCCCCCCGCTGCGACCCGTGTGAGCAATGAGGTCAGGTGGCAATAACTCGAGGTGTGCTCATGTGAAGGATGATGCACGGACACAGCGGTAGGCTAATGTTCTTCATTTCACCCTGATTCACACCCAAAATTATTCTATAGCTCACTCGCTCGCTGAGATGTCCTTGCTTCATTCACTCCCACCTGATAGCACTCACTCATGCACGTAGAAATAGGCACTCACTCACATGCACACACGCAGTGAATTACACTCACACATATAATAATAATAATGGATTACATTTTTTTATTTAGAGCGCTTTTACAGGTGCTCAAAGCGCTTTACAATTACATATTACACATATTAGACATGTAAATGTTACTGTGGACATTTCCCACAGGAGCAAATGCGGGTAGAGTGTCTCGCCCAAGGACACAACAGCCTGACGCAGTGGCAGCCGAGGAACTGGAACTGGAGTTCACCAACGACCCTTGATCTGATGATCAACGCTCTAACCACTGTGCCAAAACCGCCCCAGTATGCAGATGTGTAGTCTCATGTGTAGTCTTTTCCTGACATCTTCCAGAACCATGAATGTGTCTCTCCATCATACACTATGTGTGTGTATGCGTGTCATGAAAGGGATAGTGTCACAATAATAGCGATACTAAAAAAAACACTATCAGATATTCATAGATCATTTTTGTGAAATTCAGGAGCAAGCTTAATTACAAAATTAAAATGCAATATTATACAATCAATACATTTGTATATTATGCTCATTTTCATGTTGATATTTGTATTTTGTGCTTCTCCAGTGACATTATTTATGAATAATAATTATTATACTGCCTCTGCTGCAGCACCTCTTTTAACCCTGTGTCTGAAACCAGAGTCCAGTCTGCTCTGATTGGTAGCTGGCCGGCTCTGTTGTGATTGGTCCGCCTTGTTATCACGTACTATATGTTGGAGCGCTAGCCAATAGAAGTATGAGTGTTAGTGTTAGGGAGTAAGCCATTTCAGGCAGGTGGGGGAGAATATAGATAAACTCCCTCTGGTTTCAACCTTGGATTTTAGCCTTTGTAGACCGTTAACATGCACAAAAAGCTTTATAACACACTACAGGACAAGAAAGGGAAAACCCCATAAAGCATAAAATGGCCTCTTTAAAAATTGAAAGTGCCCAAATTGGGCGTAAGGGGCAAGGGAGTCATAGAGAGTGATACATACTTTATTTCTAAGCAAGATCAATAGGTAACAAAACCAGACTACTAAATATTACCACAGGGTGTTCTAATCTGCTTTATCATAGCACTGACGTGTTCTTCTTATCCTTAGTTGGTTTGAAGGGTAACGTTTGTCAGGCTGCTAACAATATATAAACGTGGAGATTGATCATCTTCTTATTTTAATCAAAAGGATATCAAATATGTTATCCATGTTATTGTTGGTAACTCATGGGAAATATATCCAAAAGATATAAAGGCACATCAATCCTCAAACTTAAGCTTAAGATTTTCTCACAAAAATACATTTCTGCTCTTCTTCAAATGACGGTCTCTGAAGTTCCAGTTCCTGAAACTCAACAGTCAAAAGTCCCCCGACAAGAAAGTGGACATTGAGTTGAGGTTGTTTTGTCATTTCGATTCACAAGGTCACGCTCTGCTCTTTGATGATTTCATTCACATATCCCTCTGAAATCGTTTCTCAAAGGAAAAACACGTGTTATTCATCCATCACTCGAAATTCAGACTGCAGAAAACAAAACCCTGAAAACAAATAATGTGGGGACTTCTTGGACCAAGTAATTGTCTGTTTACTGTTCCCACTTTTCCGCACATTGATATGCTTTCGTGTTATTTTGTGGTTCTTTAAACCCCCCTTAAGCCTTGCACACAATAATAAATGATAATAAAAAAGAATGATATTTTCTAAAGACATGATTTGTATTCATTTTGTTTTTGTTTCCCAATAAGAACTTCTAAAAATGAGATGCTGACTTTAGAAGAAACAACGCACTTCAATTAAGGCAGAAAATAAATCAAAGGATTCAGCTGTCTCCGGCTGTAGTGGAGAAGGAAGTTAGGTATTAATGTTCATATATTTATGTATTTGCATGACAGCTACAACTGGGAAAGGTATTAGTGGATCCTTTAGCATTAAATATTTCATAACACTGACAACTTTATGCATATTAAGTGTTTTTTTCTTTTATCTCTAAAGTCTACTAAAGAGCATAAATATACCTTTTGAGCACATTATAAATCTATTAAATTATTAAACAGTCTTTGTTGGGGGTCATTCCATTGTGTTACCTTCAGGGTCATCTTGGCCAGTAGCTCCTGAAGGTCCATGATGCCTTGCACCAGGCTCAGGAAATCACTGCAGGTCGGACAGGCTCAATGGAGGAAAAGGAAATCACCAAGACAGATACAAAGAGAAGAAGAAAAAGGGAAGTATTTAGATAGGAGATAAACAGAGTGGCAAACAGAAACGGAAGCCTAACACATCTGTTGACTCTTTGTCTAAGTCATGTGGCATTAGTATCAATAATAAAGCGAATTGATCAGAAACAGAGAGCGTGGCACAGCAGTGGCCTTGTTTCTCCATCAGTTTGACAGCAAACAGATGGAGAGACAAGGCGGGGAGAAAGAACGCTGCACTGAATCTGAATTACAGCAAAATTAAGATAAAATGAAGGGAACATTGTTTGCGATCAGCAGGGAGAGGTCACCACCAGCTGACACATGGCTTATTATAGTCCAATTTGATAAGAGGTACACAATAATGGGGCGTGTTATTTTTCTAAAATTCAACTTTTTACTCTCAGAGAGGGTTGGGAACACTATGTGCGACTGTGTCATCATGATACTCACTGCGGTTAAGGTTGGGGCACTGCGTGATGTAGCCGTTTGGAGCGAATATCAGCTTCACATCCTGGATAACACCCTGGGAACACAGAGGGAACGGGTGCAGGGATAAGACAGAAAGAGACAATGAGACGTATGGATCGGCAAGATCATAAGCTAGGCCTTGGATGCGATGGCCAAAAACACAAACAAGCAAAAGAGAGTCTACAGTCAAGTAAGCAGCTCTGTAATGATGAACTTAACTCCAGAGGCTTTTATCAAAAAGAAGACATCAGTAATGCTAGCATACTGATGTTTGGATTCATCATGTTTAAGTCTGAGAGTAACAAAAGGCCTTTGCAGGATTGATGAAAGTTGGAACAGTACACACTTGTGTAACGATCTAGTTAATAAAGGTAGAGATAGTCACAAATGGCACATTTCCACTGCAGCGGGGTAGCCCCGTTTAAGCGTCCCTAAGCGTCCTCGCTCAGGCCTCGGGCTGCCTCGCTGGCCGTCCGAGGCCGTGGCGCATTGCCATTACAGTTTAGGACCTGGGGTAGCAACGCAGTGTAGGCATGGCGATCGGCTTTTTTTTGGCCAATGAGATGTAGGAACGTCGTCACCTCCTCGGTCGACCACGGTGTGCTTTTCTTTGACGTTGCCATTTTTGTAGCTCCTCCGTTTACAAAAATGCTGTGTATAAAAATGCTTCAAGCTTGCTTCTTGATATACAGTATATGCGACGCTAGGGACGATCTTGCGCGCGATCTTGTGACGATTCTCTCTGACCAATCAGCAGTCGAGAGTGTTGACGTCAATAGTTCAGCCCTGGCCCTGGCCTGATAGAACCACGATTTTATGGGGCCGGAAAAAGAGGGAAAAAGTACCCGCTAGCCGGTGCTACGCTATATGGAAAGGCCACCAAAAACTGGCCTGGCCGCTTGAGGACGATTAAGGACGCTTAAACGGGGCTACCCGCTGCAGTGGAATACGCCAAAAGACTGTTGAACAAATGGGCGTAGTCACCATTGCATCACTGTTTTGTTGACCATGTCTTTGCATTTTGGNGTTTTTTCATCTCGTAGCCTTAATCCTTTCAAAGATTTGTCTTAGTTCATGAGAGTTAATGGTAACATTTGCCCATTTAAAATGTTATGCTCAGCATTCGATTGTATTGAGCTCCACCTTCTCGCAGTATCATTGTTACATATAGTTCCAAAAAACAAAGAGGGTGATGGCCAAAATGCAAAGACATGGTNAATGAGCTTTGACTTTATAGGGAGTGAGGAATGGTGCCACATCATGTCTATAAATAACATACATTCAGTGTTTGGCAAGTTACTTCCAAACTGTAATACTGTATTACAGTTTGGAAGTAACTTGCCAAACACTGAATGTATGTTATTTATAGACATGATGTGGCACCATTCCTCACTCCCTATAAAGTCAAAGCTCATTTTGGTTGCACCGGAGCATTAAATTAGTGCTGTGACAGTTACAACTAAGGGTTGTTGGCGGGTTTAATTGTCAGCGGTTAAATGTGGTGTGAATGTAAGGCAGCCTGGAAGAACCTTTGGGTCATAAACCACTCTGAGCTGTCGTGCTTTGTGGAGCGGAGCAGAAAATCACTGCTCCAAGGGAAAATCCCTGACAGTACTCTCACAAGTACTCTGACAGCTAAAATAATCAATCCCCAAACAAAGCTTAACTTCAGGATAAATAGAGTCTTGGCATACAAATGTATCTAATAATTCCCTCGAAAAGATAGACGGGGCAACATATTTGTGTATACATTCATCACTTTATATACTGTATGTTTAGATGGCCCTAAATGATGTATAATATACGCTTCTGACACAGTTTTATCACAGCCTTTGCACCTCTGGGCATATTTGAAAAAGTAGTCGGTTCAGCAACTACGTGTAAGAGACTCGTTTAGTCCAATGACACACAACTCGTTTCTTGTCTTGTTCACTTCAGTGTGTGTGTGTGTGTGTGTGTGTGTGTGTGTGTGTGTGTGTGTGTGTGTGTGTGTGTGTGTGTGTGTGTGTGTGTGTGTGTGTGTGTGTGTGTGTGTATAAACGGCCAAGGACGATGTCTAAGCTAAGTAGAGATGACTGATGTCCTCACAGTCATAATTGTGTCATTACCAGCCGGTGCTACATGATCATTAGTCCCTGCGGTCTCTGCTGTGATTAACATATTGGGGATGACTTAAAAGAGAGGAGGAGGAGGAGCGTCTGTCCGTTTCCAAACTCGACCAAAGCCATATCTTCACCTTCCAACAAGACACACACAGGACATGACCTGAGGTGATCTCTTTTTCATTATCTGTGCTCTGATGGTAGTTGGGTCCCAAGTCAGGTGCCAACTCCTTGAAGGTCTGACTTTGAAGACTGAATATTTTGTTACGGGTCAATACGGCCTGTCCCTCTTGTTTCACATAGTCTTTTCCTGCAGCCAAAATCAAACCTTATTTTGGAAAGTCAGTATCCCACAAAATCCCTTGCCTAGTATGTGAACCCAGTGCTTGTGTTCCGGTGATACTCTTTCACTGGTTAGTGTACAGCTCAGAAAGGACCAAAACTAAATAAAACGTTGTAAACTTGTACACTCATTATACCTAATTACAGACTATTGCCAATAAATACGTATGGACTTGACCTGGACTTTAAAGTTTAAAGAATATAAATCAAGCGTACATTTTGTTCCTGTTAGCAGCCTGAATATTTTGACAGCTGATTTTCAGATTAGTAAAAGTTATACATATTGATGAGTTACATTTTTCCCGGCCAAGTGAAAGGTCACAACCTATTCCTTAAACTCAGGAATCAGAGAACTTCCCTCACTCACTGCTATTTACAATTTTGTTCAAGTTCAACTTATTTTTGGTAAAACTTTATGAGATTAAAATCACCCAATAAAATGCACCAAAGACCAGGTTTTGGTGAGACTACAATGGAAGTTTAAGAACAGTCCACTTTTCTTCAGGGCTCCAAAGGAACCACTTGTATAGGCCGCATCCTTTAAAGGGTGGAGCAACTGAATTAGGACAGAGATAGTGTTTGATTGATGGTGTGTTATAGTACCTGTAGGGATCTGGAAAGTCAGCTTAGACTGTATCTCTACTGGTTGCCTGCAACAACCCTGTGGCTACAGGATCAGCAAGTCTGCCTATTTTCGCCTTTTGAAAAAATTGTAATTTCTCTCAACCGCATTTACAGCTCTAGTACTAATCCTCTGATAAGTGCTATGTTTACAGATATGGGCCTGCATCAGAGAGCACTGTCTCCCATTTGAGAAATCCAAGCCCTATCATTTTGATCAATGAAAAGACCAGAAAGTCTGTAACTGTGAGATAAGTTCATACAACTCAGCCCTCAGCTTTATAAAAACAACGGGTTGCTTGAATTGAGATATGTCAGTCAAAGTTTATTAAATTGGGTCAGCTCCAAAAAATCATCACTGCAGTGATATGATCTTTGCATTAATTAATGAAGACTTTTTTTTTCTCATCAGTGTGCTTTACTGTGTGATGGAGGACAATTTGGTTTGTTAATTAAAACCTGACAATCACTTTGGCAATCTGATGACACATCGCAATCCAGCTAATGTGAAAATAGGGAATAGCAAACACTTAGGGTATAACACTGATGCTAATTATATAAGTCAGGCTAGGTAATGTGCATTCACTCCCTTTAGGCTACTTATAGCAACAACGTTTTTCAGAATTGTATGGTAGCTTTCAGGCTCGAGTCCAAAGGAAATGTGAACAATTTAGCCCATAGACCATGCTGAGCAGCAAGCCAGCAAGGCCTCTGGCTTGAAGATTACCACCCCAATCCCCTACAGTTTAGAAATGGTCAGGGAATTGAATGAGAATAAGCAGGGATAAATAACCATATGAAGAATAAGGCGAGGAAACGGAGCGATGCCAAGGACAACGTTGGCTGTGTTGGAGCCCATGCAGTCAGTGAAGTGCAGATGGCAGAGATGGATGCCACCCAGAAGAGAGTTTGAGAAGTGGGACATAGAGAGTGATAAGGGATTCAGAGGAGCAGGGGTACACACACACACACACACACACACACACACACACACACACACACACACACACACACACACACACACACACACACACACACACACACACACACACACACACACACACACACACACACACACACACACACACACACACACACACACACACACACACACACAGTTGTTCAGTAAAATGACTGTAATCATTACAGGTTTTTCAGTGATCTTTTACCAGAGTGCTCACCCACTGTGACCCCTGCAGACCTTTGCCAGTTTCACAGTAGGCCGAGTCAATCCTCCCGCCTCACACACGGAAGCTCTCCTTACATTCTCATACTTTTAGCTTCATGGACAGCACTTGGCTAGCAATACTGCCCGGACCTTTCAACACTGTCCTCTCTTTTTGTGTTGCTCTGATTGAATGTCAGCCTGTTTGAAGGTAGGTAACCTAGCTTTTCAGTTTAATTCTACTGGGATTTTGTTTTTGTAGGTCCTAGATCTCAGCAATTGAGGATTTGCAAACCCAGAGTGATCCTTTAACTGTGTGAGTATTGCTTTGGTCAGCAATGCCCTTTTTTCAACAAGTCCCTGTTCCACACTAACACAATTTAACTTATTCACAATTTATATTTCTATGGAATGAGCATTTGCCTAAAAATGTTGATCAGCGTGTATCTATTTCTGCAAAATAGTCATTACCAAATAATCTTCAGTTTTTACAGGAGAAAACCTTGTTGGGTTTAGGCAACACAACTTCAAAGCTAGTTTAGCAAAAATAATGTTGAAATAACTCCAGTTAAATGAACAGTTAATCAATTTGTATACGGTTAAATTAGTGTCCTGGCTGAAAGGCATGGGCTTTATACCTGCTGGTTTACATATTGTGAAATATAATTTTCTTTGAGGGATATACACAAATTGCAGTGCATTACTTTCTGTAGGTATAACTACCATAAGTGAATGACCACAGCCTGCTGAGTTATGTGAATTAACACTTTGGAAGCTACACCGTGCTATTATAGTTTAATTTGTTGGTTAATGAGCAGCTCACTAGAG